GTAGCATATTCATTTTTGCTAAAGTATTTCCATATATATTGGGATTTATTTATTATTGCCTTTACTACATAAAATCATTATTAGTAGTATGTAACTTAACTTTTCTGTACTTTTATTGAATTTGTAAAATTTAAGGAAAATTAAAGGGGGAAAAAAATCCAATGTCAGAAATGTAATGTATTTAAAAAATATTTGAAGGCTTCATTGATTTTTATTTTAATTTGTCCATTTTTTTAAATAGAGGAGTGTGTTGAGTAGCATATTACTTTTTGCTAAAATATGGACAATTGGCAGAGAATTGTAATATTCCAGTCAGATTTTAGTATCGATATCAACTACTGTGTGTGTGTGTGTGTGTGTGTGTGTGTGTGTGTGTGTGTAAAGTGCAGAGCACTTTACGAGATTGCAAAAATGGTGCCATTTGTATCATGTGTGTGTGTGTGTGTGTGTGTGTGTGTGTGTGTGTCTTCAGATAATGACTGTGGGGATAACAGTGATGAAGCCGGCTGCAGTCACTCGTGCTCCAGTGTGCAGTTTAAATGCAATAGCGGCCGCTGTATTCCAGAGTACTGGACCTGTGATGGAGACAACGACTGTGGAGATTACAGCGATGAGACTCATGCCAACTGTACCAATCAGGGTGAGTTTGAAAAGTATCATTATTTGATAAAAGAAAAGAGGTCTTACTCCAAACATATAGTTTAATTCAGTTTTTGGGAAAAATGACTTCAGTCAGTTATTTGTTTAATTTTGTTATTTATTTTTATTTTAAAGTATTTTAAATTATATAAATTGTGTAAATTAATAGTTAAATTAAGAGTAACAAAATTAACAAATATGAAAACAAATAAAAACGTATTTGTTTACTAAAAATAAATATAATGTTTATTGTTAGAAAATAACAGTTTTGTTTGTTTTATTTATTTATTTTAATTTTTATAATTTGTTTAAATAAATGTACTTTTGTTTAAATGTACTGGTGAAGCCCCATAGAAAACAACTTTATATATTTAGTTTGACATCCTGAGGTTGACGATTAATTTTTTATCATGATGAAGCACCTTCATTCACTCATCATTTGTTTAAAAGACAAAATTATATTTTTAATAGTGTCGTCAGCTTTTTTACCCTATTTGTATTTTATAAACTGTCAGTTTATTCTCTGAAGCTATTTTAGTTGTGTGGGCCTTCTGAAGTGTCTCTAGATTTTGAGCGAAACCACAATGACTAATGCAACTGAGCTCTTCATTAACAGGAGTAAATCACGATTTCACAAACTGGGCTGTCAACTTTTTCTTTTTTTGTGGTCTGTGGTGAAACACGTAAACCACAAAATCTTGAAGAATGTCTGCAAGGAGTGCAGGGAGTGAGAGTCCCTGTGGAGAGCAGTGTTAATGGCTGCTCTGAGAGCTGCTGTCTAGAGGGATTACACAAGCACAGATGTACCAGGACGCTTGACGCATGAGCCACTGGTGTATCCACATGTGCAGTTTTGTTCTTATCTCTTTCCCTCTCCACAAGTCCCATTCATGTGGCTTCGTAGCTATTAATTGGTCAATGGTTGGCTGGGCCCTGCGTGGAATAGGAATAGAGATTTAGGTTCTGTTTTCGGGGTCTGGGCTCTGTCCTTCTCTTCTCTAATCCCTACGGCATGCTGGTGCTTAATAGACTCGCAGAATCAATGCAGCAGAACCAAGCCAGAGGCCTAATGAGAGTGCTGGGCCTCATGGGAGCCTGGCAGTGTGTTTGTGCCTGTGTAAAGATGTAGAACTGAATGAGGTCATCCTAGTATGAGTTGTGAAGGAGAGATGTTTCATAAAGTCATTGAGTATGAGTTTGAAGTAGGAATGTTAAAAGTAATGGTACTTTGGTACCAAGTCAATTTAAAAGTAAAGAATATAACGATACCAGTTCTTCTGCAAAATTGAAAAGCTGTTAGCTTTAATAAATGTTAACATTTATATTAACATTTAAAAAAATAGAGGACTGTTGAGTACCATATTAATTTGCTATTAGAATTTATACATTTTCTGCATTGATTACATAATTGCACTGTTTAACTGTTGTGAGTATATTCAAAGGCAACATGCCAATTGATCTAAATTAATTGTTTATTATTAGCACTATGTAACGGTTTACGTATATTTTATATAGTGTATTTGTGAATGTATTTAAAATACATATATGAGAGAGAGAGAGAGAGAGAGAGACACTGAATGCATGCAGCTCGAGCAGTGTGATGTCATTCGGGTCAGTTCACCCCAGCAGATCCCTGTTCTAGGACACACTTCTCTCTGTTTACGGATGAGCTCTGGTTTTCCATTTTCCCCACTCCAGACTCTGCCAGACACTAACATTTGCCATGAGGGAAAGCCTTTATGTCTGATGCCTAATGATGGCCGTCACAGTGCCAGCCCTGGACCGCTGTTCATGAGAAAGTTTGCTTTAGATAAGTTCATTGTGGTTGTGCCTCACACTGGTCACAATCTCCATCCCTGGGAACTGATTTTTGACATCAGGAAGCCAAGCTCTCATTACCATCAAATAATAAGATATGTGTCCATGCCTTTGTATGAGTGTTCACACGGCTGCATTGTAATTGCGTGTCCCATTTTTGCCTTTGTCTGCAGCCACGCGGCCTCCCGGCGGTTGCCACACGGATGAGTTCCAGTGCCGAATGGACGGTTTGTGTATTCCTATGCGATGGCGCTGTGATGGAGACACGGACTGCATGGACCTCAGCGACGAGAAGAACTGCGAGGGCGTCACACATATGTGCGACCCTGCCGTCAAGTTTGCCTGCAAGGACTCGGGTTAGTTCACGTTTGGCCATCTTAAATGTTCTCACTCATGTTTCGGCAACAATCATAAATAAATGTAAACATAAATCAACTCTTAAAGGCCCAAAATCAAAAGTTTGTCCATGTGTATATTAGCTTTAACAGCATCTTTATGCAAGTGTAATCCTAAAATTTCCTTTCCTTAAAATCCTAAAGCATTTAATATGTATAGTCTGCTTGAACACAGATCAAAAATATTGATGACAAATCTTGCATATACCCATTTTTGTCCAATAAAATGAGATTGTCTTTCCTCTTCTGGTATAAACACCTTTTTTGTTCAACTAAAAATGATAAATTGAAGCATTTTTGCAAGTGAATTGTGGGTCTAATTTTTTGTTTCTTTGTGTATATTTTAGCTCGCTGTATCAGCAAGGCCTGGGTGTGTGACAGGGACAGCGATTGCGAGGATAACTCGGATGAAGAAAACTGCGAGGCTCTTGAGTGCAAGCTCTCCCACCATGTTTGTGCCAGCAACGACTCCATCTGCCTACCTCCTGAGAAACTGTGCGACGGCAATGACGACTGCCCCGATGGCTCGGATGAGAAGCTTTGCAGTAATGCACACGCACTTAAACACAAATACACTCAAGTTAAAGGGATCATTAATATTGTCATGCTTTACTCAACCTCATGTCATTTTAGACATGTTTATTTTTTTCTGTGCATCACACAAAAATAATATTTAAAGAATCACATAGGCTACCATTCAAAAAGTTTTGGGTCAGTAATTGTTTTTTTTGTTGTTTTTTAAGTCAGCAAGGATGCATTAAATTAATCAAAAGTGACCCTAAAGGGGTTTAATTATGTAAAAAAAAATCTATTTTAATTAAATGTTTTTCATATGAACTTTGCATTCATCAAAGAATTCTGAAAAAAATCACATTTTACACAAAAGCAGTCAGCATTCATAATTATAAGAGTCAGCAATAATTAAACAGTCAGCATTTATAATTATAAGAAAAGTTTCTTTACCATCATATTGACATATTAGAATGACTGTTGAAAGAACTGTGTGACACTGAAGACAGGAGTAATAAAATTATATAAAAAAAAATATATTAAAATGGCAAAGAGTTATTTTAAATTGTAATTTCACTGTTACTGTTTTTACCGTATTCACATATATGTAGAATTGGTATTAAGCATAAAACATTAAATCATAACACAACTTACTGGCCCCAAACTTTTTAATGATAGTGTGAATTGTTTTCATGTAATGACGATCTATAGTAAATAAGTGACCATGATCTGTCAAACTCCAAAAAGCACTATAAAAGTAGTCCTTGTGACTTCAGAATATAACCCACAAGTCATATGGGCTACATTTTCTGTATGATTTTATTTATTTTGGTCTTTTTGTGGAGCTCGACAGCCAGTAGATCTTGTGTGCTCCATGGATGAATGCCTTGAGAGTGAATGAATAACGACTAAAGTTTCATTATTGCGTGAACTATTCCTTTAAATCTTTCACAGTTTGCGCAGAGCATGCCAACTCAACTTGTGTTTCCCATTAGCATGACACAAAAATATTTCAGGCTTGAATTCAAATGAAATAAGCACATTCTCTCAAACTCTTGTTTATTTATTTTTTGACAGACTTGCAGCAACTTACTCATAAACACCTTTTCAATCCCACTTGCTTCTTTTTTACCTGTTTTCATTCTAGATCTTTGCACGATGGATAATGGAGGCTGCAGCCACAACTGTACCATTGCTCCTGGTGAGGGCATCCTGTGCTCCTGCCCAGCTGGCATGGAGCTGGGTACCGACAACAAAACCTGCCAGATTCAGAGCTTCTGCGCCAAGCATCTCAAGTGCAGCCAGCGCTGCATGCAGGAGAAGGCCACTGTTAAGTGTGCCTGCTATGAAGGCTGGGCGCTCGGGCCAGACGGCGAGAGCTGCAAGAGCACTGGTGAGGGAAAGACGGGGTGGAGGACAGGATGAATAAAGATACCAAGAATATTTCAGTTTTACCAGACCCCTTGATGAGATGTACAGTACACTGTATATAAAATATATATTTTTTAAATATATCTAGGTAACAAAATGTCACAATATTGTTGTTTTTGCTGGAATTTTATATTATATTATATTATATTATATTATATTATATTATATATTAAAGTCTAGTGACTTTCTGGACTTTATGGAGTAAAACCAAAATCAAGGATTAGCAGGGTGCTGGACTTATGTGCCTTGTCCATGTTCTTTAGATCCTTTCAAGCCCTTCATCATTTTCTCCAACCGGCATGAGATCCGTCGGATTGACTTGTACAAGGGCGAGTTCAGCGTGCTGGTGCCTGGCCTGCGTAACACCATTGCCCTGGATTTCCACCTCAACCAGAGTGCCCTCTACTGGACCGATGTGGTTGAAGACAAGATCTATCGGGGAAAGCTGTCGGAAAACGGAGGTAAATTAATGTCATAGTGCTATGGGAGTGGTTGTTCCTAAGTCAAATAATTAGTTCATAATTATTTAATAATTATTAATTATTAATAATTTATTATTTAGTCCTGGTTAAATACATCTTACATTTGCATGTTGTTGATTTTGTATACACTACCAGTCAAATGTTTTTGAACAGTAAGATTTTTAATGTTTTTTTAAAGAATTCTCTTCTGGTCACCAAGCCTGCATTTATTTGATCCGAAGTACAGCAAAAACAGTACATTTTTGAAATATTTTTACTATTTAACATAACTGTTTTCTATTTGAATATATTTTAAAATGAACTTTATTCCTTTGATTTGATTTCAAAACTTAATTTTTAGCATCATTACTCCAGCCACATGATCCTTCAGAAATCATTCTAATATTCTGATTTGCTGCTCAAAAAACATTATTATTATCATTATTATTCTTATTATGTTGAAAACAGCTGAGTATAATTTTTTCAGGTTTCTTTGCTGAATAGAAAGTTCAGAAGAACAGCATTTATCTGAAATATAAATCTTTTGTAACATTATAAATGCCTTTATCATCACTTTTGATCAATTTAAAGGATCCTTGCTAAATAAAAGTATTAATTTCTGTAAGTCTCCTCCCCCAAAAAAATTATAGTGACTCCAAGCTGTTGAATGGTGTAGTGTATAATGTTACAGAAGCTTTTTATTTCAGATGAATGCTGAGCTTTGGATCTTTCTATTCATCAAAGAATCCTGAAAAAATGTACTCAACTGTTTTAAATATTTATAATAATAATAATAAATGTTTCTTGAACAGCAAATCAGCATATTAGAATTATTTCTGAAGGATCATGTGACACTGAAGACTGGAGTGAAGATGCTGAAAATTTAGCTTTGATCACAGGAATAAATTGCATTTTAACATATATTCAAATAGAAAGCAGTTATTTTAAATCGTAAAAATATTTTTCTTTTGCTGTATTTTGGATCAAATAAATGCAGGCTTGTTGAGCAGAAAGTAGGGCTGTGCAATTAATCGAAAAACAGAACGATTATGAAAATACAACAATGATTATGAAAATACAATAATCAAGATAAAACGATTATTGCTCCCTATTCCGCCCCCTTTCCAGCCATGCGCTTTCGCTCCTCCATAAAAGCCCAATTTCACATGCAAATCAGTATAATCATGGAGCGTGACTTTTGCAAAATGGGATGTGCTTGATTTATTGAAGTGTATTAGATGTATTCATGTTTTTAAAAGTGCAAAAGAGAACTTGTGCTTCCTCAGGAGGATTTCTGTGGCTGTGCTCAGAGACGGAGCATAACACGGACATGTAAAGTCATCATTTAGCTCAAGGTGCACGCCTAAATGGTCAAATACACACAAAAATGTGTCAATATGCGGCGCTTAGTGATTATTCACAAAACCTTCTTCGGTCATGTAATAAATGAACATAAACAGTTGAGAATGAAAATACGTGTGTAACGGTAAGTTGGATCTGTGCGGCTCTGAAGCTGACAGCGGGCTAAAATATTCCTGCTGCCGACTGTATGCTTAATATTAATCAAACAACAAAAGACAAATTCAAAATCATACACTGCTCCTGAGTGAAGGACTTTTGTAGCTTTAATAAGAAACAAAGAAAGTTTAATTCTTTCTCAGACTATGCCGTTTTATTTTACATTTGATTATTCATTTCTGTTAACGGAATACTTGAGACTTGCATAAAAAACCTTAAATCACAGTTTGTTTCATTTGTATTTTTTTTTATTCTATTCCATTTGTCCATTGCTTTTTTATTACTGACGGTTTAATTATTTTCAATAATTTTGAGGACTTTTTGTTTCTTTGTTTGAAATTAGGAAATATATATTTGATATGCATCACAATCTTTAAATAAATCACTCATATAAAGTTTTGGTCATATGGCCCCCTCATAATCATGTTAAATAACCGTGATTACAATATTGACCAAAATAATCGTGATTATGATTTTTGCCCTAATCGAGCAGCCCTAATTTACACTTACATAACATTTCATAGTGTGAAGTTTCATTTTAATGAGGAAATTTGGGAATGAAAATACATGAAACTAAAATAGCATAGTATATTCTTTTCCCCAAATTTGCTCACTAAAATGATTGTGATGTTATTAAAAGACAGGGATTTCATGTAAATTATAATTTACTTGTTTTTATGTAAATGCAGTTTAATTAAATGACTGTCACCAATACTGTGTGTCTATGTTTTACAGGTATTATTAATCCCAAGCAACCCAAGGAAGCACCCAAGAACTTCACTTTTGACTATTCATACTGGTCACACAGCTCAGTAAGTTTGAATACATCACACAAAAAAAAACAAGTATAGCTGCCGCAATATTTTTAATTGCATGAACCTGTCAATAAAGCAGCTTTACGGAAAGGTATACTGTAACTTCATGCTGTAAGGTCTATAAAATCCCTATTTCATCAAATACATGATTGAAAATCATGCCACAGTTCATTCGTCTTATTCTGCCAGTGAGTACATCAAAGGCAACTGTGGCAAGAAACAGAAAACTCAAAAAAAAAAAAAAAAAATTATAACTTCAGATGTTTATTCTTGCATGTAAATGCAAACGGTACACAACAAAAGGGTGCATCACATCAAGATGCAATTTTATGTATGAAATACTAGCATTGATCTTCATCAGACATTCATCTGAACACAGAAAACTCCCTTTTTCCTCTGTGTGTTTGCAGGAAGAAGACCCATCCTTTGCATCTCAGGGGAAGGTGTATCAGGACATTGGTGAGGAGATGCTGCTTCATGCTTTCGAGGGCTATAATGTGTGCATTTTTGCTTATGGACAGACTGGTGCAGGAAAGTCGTACACAATGATGGGAAAACAGGATCCGGGGCAGCAAGGCATCATACCACAGGTATTTTATGCAGATAGCGTGAATAAAAGCTTCTTTTTTTTTCTGTCCACCACAAGTGAAATGAACAAAGCGATGGAGTCAGTATATATTTGATGTTTAATGTGTTGCTATGTAAGATTTCACTATGGAAGACAAAAAAACAGAAGCTATTTTGAATGATGTAGTCTGAATGGCTGGTCTATGTTAAAGGTGCACTTAGTAATTATTATTATAATTTTTTTTTTTTTTTGCTAATTAAAAAATTGTGCACATCTGAATGAACAGAACTTAGGAAATGTCTTGGCATGAGGAATCGATTTTTTTGGTTCTTTTTTTGTGTTTGGGTTAGGGTTACAACATTATTTTTAGTTGGAGAACTTTATTAGTAAACTTAATAATGGCTTTGAGGAAAAGGGAACTTCAGTCGCATTCTCTTGTTTTAAAGACTTGTGTAAAGTTCTGAGTTGACTTTGTTGTCTAACTGTGTTTTCCCACATTGTTCTGTTCTTTTCAGCATTCCAAGTTAGTCCGTAATTATTACAACTATTTTCGGTTCACAAAACCACAGCGTGCATCTAAGTGAGTCTGTGTGTGATCGTAGCACAGGAATTTGGACGCCTCTGTCTTTACCCATTTGACTCATTCCTAGTTTGCGTGACTACAGCCAGAGTAAAAGTAAAGTGTCGGAAGCCTTAGTTGCTTTGAAACATGTGCACACACCTCCCTCCTTCTCTGAACAGCTCTTTCCAGAGATATGATACACTGTCCAAGTTTTGGATCCCTGCTGTCATCTTTGACAGAGTAAAAATATGACTGACATTGCTGCCAACGCTGAAGTGTTGTTTCTCAACCCCCATCAGAGAGGCTGCGCTGTCTCCAGCCCAACAGAGAGCCATTCTGGACCTTTAATTACTGCTCTGTATGAGAGTCTCTCTCACAGATCAGAGAGCAGCTTGCCTTGATTGGGAATCATTTTTTTCTCTTCCACGTGGCTGTAGCTCAGAGTGGGGGAATATTTATTGCAGCATTGACTTAAATGGCTTTCAGGCTAGAAGCAATCAAACGATTTCTTAGTCAATATATACAGTCTGAGACCACTGGTCAAAATGCTTCTACTTTATTTTAAATACAATTTTTTTCATTATGAAATGTATTATAGAACATTTTGATTGAAAAGTTGAATTGAGTATTTGGTTTGTTTTCCTCTTGCAGCACTTGAGCTGTATGAACTCCACAAGTTTGTGTGGAACATGAGAATCATGTTCTCCAGTATGATTTGAGATTATATAAAGAATATTTTGAGCTTCAATGGAAGTCTGACTGACTATACGAAGAATCACATGATCAGTGTCACAAATTGTCTTATTTGATTAGTGACCTAAAAATAGTGCAGAATCTTAAATTATTTCTTTAGGGATGCACAATATATCGTATGTTTTGGTTGATATTCATGATGTAATTGTACATTCTTATTTTTGTTTATTTTTATTACCTTTTGATTTTGAAATTACCTTTCACTCATCTAAGGGACACTTAATATTAATCTTTAAAAACACCAATAATTGAATAATTAATTACAAAATGCACAATTTAGTGACACTGTTAAATATCATCTTTAGCAAATCTCAAAATGAATGCCAATGTTTGATACTAACATTATAATGTTGTGATGACTAAATTCATTTGTAGGGTTTAAAATTTTATATATATATATATATATATATA